AACTTTTCTTCCCTCGGTTTCTCTCGTTATTTTTTTTTTTTTTTGAGTTATGTTATTTTTATAGGATTTGATGTTAATCACATTTTTTAGAGATGTCTGATTTATTATCAGAGTAAATATTTTTTTATTAGAGCACGTATATGTTATTTTGATTAAAACTACATAAGTTGTACACAAAATATTACAAGTTTTCACCTAAATAAATTCAACTTTTCATCAAAATAACATAATACTGAAACAATATAACACAAGGATTAATATAAAAAATAACACAAAGTTAAATAATAACATTATATTTTAGCAAAATAACATAAGGTATAATTTAAAATAACACAATGTCTAAACAAAATAACAAAGGGACAAATATATCCAAAAAAAAAAAGAAACTATTTTAAGCAGAAAAACATTAGATTATTGAAAGAATAACGTAAGATTACATACAAAATAACACAACATATAAACAAAAACAAAAACACGATTTTAGTGACATAATACAAAGTTTTATCTGTTCAAAAAAAAAAACAAAGTTTTATCAAAATAACTCATTGGTTTTGTACAATAACACGTGGCTTAACGAGATAACATAAGAACCAAAAAAACAAGCTTATTTCAAAATTACGCAAGTTCAACTCATAATAATACGAGTTCAGAAACATAATCATTTCATTTTAAATAATTTTTTTTAAAATAACATGCATATTCTCTGTTTAAAATAACAAATTTCATATAACACATTTCAACTTAAAATAACATTGTCTCACCATCATGTTTAGTTTCATTTAATGTTAAATTTTTGCAGAAATATAAATAATAAATATAATTATCAAAGTTTTAGTTGATCGGATAATTTTTGTAAAATATAATAATGTTGAAATTTAAAGGAAAATTCTCTTTGATAACACTATAATTTTTAATTTTCTCAGTGGTGAATTGCGACCGTTAAAAAAATGGCAAATTGCGAAAATCTTATTATTTTTTATAAACATGAATTATTGATTAACAAAAATAATAGTTATCTTAATATAAACTCACTAACTGACAAGCGCACTTTAGGGCGCGCTTTAGAACATATATTAGGATGATTTTGGATGTATTTGGGGCCGTTTTGGCCGATTATTACCTTGTTATGCTTATGTCCCCTATATTACGTGCTTCACGGGTTTTCGGTTTGTTTTTGATGTGTTTTCAGGTAATATCAACCGAGTTTAGTCGGATCCCGAGCCCTTGATGCGTAACCGAGCTAGCCTTGACCGAAGTCCGAGGAGTTAAGGAAGTTCAAGTGCCGTGCATAGATTGCATAGCACAGGCAGCACGGCCGTGTTACCATAGGCACACCCGTGCTGGCCTATGAGCAAGCAGCCCCAGGCAAGGCAGCACGGCCGTGCAAGCCAATAGCACGGCCGTGTCAGTACCCACACACCAGCATGGCCGTGCAGGCCATTAGCACGGTCGTGCCAGATGTTGCTCGTGCCCGTGTCAGCTTGAGTATGAGACCCGCGCTAGAGCATATTAAGCACGGCCGTGTCATTTTCAGCACGGCCGTGCCAGGAATCTGCACGGCCGTGCCATATGTAGCACGACCGTGCAAAATTGAAGAAGAAATTCGGTTTAGCTACTGACAAGCTAAAACAGCCGTGCCAAATATAGCACGGCCATGCTGATCTAGGGTTAACCGCGCACTTGACTTCTCCGAATTAGAAGGCGTATATAAGGCCCGACTTTAAGGGGCGTTTTTAGACAGATTTAGAGATAGTTTTTGAGAGCCTTTGTAGAGAGTTATTGGAGAACGTTCTTGGTATTAGAGATTCATTAGTTTTCTTAAAGATTATTCTAGCGGTTTTAGTTTCTCGGATTGATTTGAAGCAAGATTTGTGAAGATTCTTTGTATTATTCATTGACGACGGATATCAAAGTTCTAAACTTTTCCATTGATTCGCATAAATACAATTGGTATTATTCATTCTTGTTTATTAATCAAGCTTTATTATTCCTTAATCAGAATTCATGTTTATATCTATTATGCTTTTGGAATTCATTATTGCTTTGATTATGAATATGTGTGAGTAGTCTCCTAGCTAGGGTTTCGGGATGAAACCCGGCCTAGGTAATCTATGTAATTGAGGGTTGATTTTGATAAACGGATTGTGATTAAATTGATTATATGCGATTGCATGTTAATTCATTATAATAGGAGTAGCTAACCTAGAATCTTGAATTTGATTGCATGAAATTCTTGATTCGAACAAGAGATTGTGAATTGAGTATTTCATTATTGAATGTGGTTTGATTATGTATCGAGTAATGTTAAGTGCATGAGAAATCCAAGCTTAGTATTGCCCGTTGTCTTCCTACCGCACGATATTGATCAGACATATAGTCTTTGCATATCCCATTTGTCTCTATGATTCCTTGTTGCGCAGTTACCGATGGTTTGGTGAATTCCCGTTCTCCCTAGTGTCTTAGTTTATTGATTTATTCCATCTTATTAGTAGTATTTTATAACACCATTTTCCATTGATTTCGAACTAGCTTAGGTTTAAAATTGATTTGCAATTACTCTCGTTCCTCGTGGACCGAACCTTTATTTGCCATTGTACTTGGTTATAGGGTGTTCGTATAAGTATTGTTTGATTGAGAGTTAGATTGTAGCGACCGATTTAACGCTTGTCACTAACCACGGTTAATTTATTTTATTTTTTAATAATTAAATTATAAAATAAATAAATAAATAAAATAAAATAAAATAAACTAACCTCACCACCAACCCAAAACCCCAAACACCCAACCACCGCCCACGACCTTCCTCTCTCTCCTTTGATCGATACTTTCCTCCCACCGGCCACCGCAACCACAACCTCCTCTCTTTCTCCTCCTTCCATCGCAACCTTCCTCACCTTCGCCCAAACCGAACCCAAACCCACGACCTAAACCACCGACTTTAGGGTTTCGACTAAGGCGGCTGGAGTTAGGGCTTCGGGAAGGGCCGAATAGGGTTTTTGATGGTGGGGTATTGGGCGGCTAGGGCATTTCGAGGGTGGGAAAGGGGTTTCGAGGGTTTTCGGGGAGAAGGAAGGTGGTGGTTCAGAGGATGGGGAAGATGCCAATGGGGGTGGGGGAGGTTGGCGCACCAGTGAGAGAGATGGCTTGGCACCGGCGTGGTGGGATGCTGGTGAGGGAAGGGGGTGATTTTTTTTTTTAAAAAAAAAAAATTATTTAAAAAAAAAAACTAACTATAGTTTAATATTTAGTTTAAATTTGTCATTAATGTTAGAGCACTACCAATGGTGAGCTAAAAATTTGCTCATGGGCATTTTGGGTGGGCATAAAATTTGCTCATGCATTACAATGGTGAGCAAATGAGAAAAAGCCAAAAAATGCTCATGAACATTTCTGAAAATGCCCAAGACTTGAGCATTTTTGAAGATGAATAGTGCTCTGGTGGGCCCAACAATTTGCAATGGTTATATTTTTTGTAATGCAAATTCTGAAATAAATATTTATTAAAAAAAAAATTAAAATTACCAACGGTCATAAAATTTAATTCTCTATAAATAGACATGCATTTTGGTATATTTTGGTATAATTTCAGAAATACCATAAATCCTCCATATTATTTATTTTAACGATAAAAACGACACAAATAAAAAAATAAGTTACACAAATTTAGACTAATTTTTATTTATTTGGAGTAATATTGTTAAAATATAAATGAAATTAATAAATAAAGAAGTGTTGTGTAGGAGAGAGAAAGTAATGGTGGGGTATTGAAAAAGTAAGAGAGAAAGAGTAGTGGGCAAACATTTTTTTTGCTCACCATTGGGAGAGAAATTGTGAAAAAAAAAATTGCCCATGGGCAAAACAGATTTGTTGAAAGAGAAACTGGGTAGAGAGATAGTGGGTGGGCATTTTTTTTGCTCACCATTAAGAGTGGTCTTATAGTTAGCTTAATATAAAAAAATTCAAGTTTAACAAAGATAATAAGTTTTTTTTGCAATTCACCACTGAGAAAACTTAAAAATACAGTGTTACCAAAGAGAATTTCCCGAATTTAAATTCAAATCTCCTTACCTATTTTGTTCCAACCTTCCTTGTGATTGATTTGCTCATTTTTCTATGAATTCATGAATATCAACTTTTTTTTTTTTTGAAAGAATGAATATCAACCTATTTTGATGTTGTGAAATTGAAAATTCGCGTTCAATTGAACAATTTTGTGTTTGTTTGTGGTAGTTAATGCAAATCTTTGATGAATTTCAGTTTTTTTTTAATTTTATTTTTGGTTTTTTGAATGAATGAATGAAGGTTTTAATGAGGTAAACACGGAGGTTTGAGAATTAAGTGAGAGAAAAAGTGGAGAGGGAACTCATTCGATTTCTTTTTTTTATTGCTCAATTTATTATGTAGTGTCACATTTTCATGTTATCTATACTAATCTATATCTATATTAATATTTAAAAAAGCGTACTTAAGAACATCTATGTGCTAAGTAGACCCCTCAATTACTTAACTTCTCATTACGCCTCATGGATCTCCCTTCCATTTGTTTCTCATTGCATGTTGAATATGCAGCTTCTAATTCTAGAATTGAGTGTCTTACTACCAAACTATCTAATATTTTATGTTATTTTTTAATACATAATATTAATATATAGTGAATGACAATGACAATATGAATAACAAATTTAATTGCAAAAAAATTTGAGTCATAAATTAAAACGTACTTCGTATATTAACAATCAACCTCATGTAATGATCCGAGGCATCGATCGAACCCTAGTTTTGTTTTAAACATATGTTATTTCGCATTAATTTGTGAGTCTAAGGGTTTGGTGCAAGTTTTTACAAACCTCACAAGTATACGATGCATTTAAAATTTTCAGGAGTACACGGTGCATTTTTTAAAACCTCGGGGTACATGAAATAATTCCCTCAATAGTACTCTCAAAATGTCATTATTTACAAAATTACCATTGTTATTTATTTGGTTGTGTCTAGACGTGAGGCCCTATGAAGCGCTCCTCCAAAGCCAAAGAGCCTTTCACTTTTACATTGCAAAGTGCAACTCTGTCATTATTTCCTCTATTAAAACGTGCTCTAAGTTCTCCATTGAAGCAGTTTCACCTCCATTGAAGTGGCTACTGAGGTATTCTTTCTATGTAAAAATTTTAATATCAAACATCAATTTCACAATCTAGGGTTTAGTTACAAATTATCTTAAATTTAATTGTCAGTAAAGTCAATCTAGGGTTCATCTTAGGTGGGTTATTGAACTATTAGTTATAATTACTGAAATTTATGAAAGTTTATAACTATCAAATTTGTTGCTAGAGTTTTGGTATGTGCAGTTTAAGTTGATATTCTAGAGCGAGAAGAATGTTATGTGATTTTCCGATACTAAATTAATAATTGTGTCAAATTTGGTTGGTAATGTTTTGCATTTTTCACACCTAAACTGGTAAGTGTTTCAATTATATTTGCTAATGTATTGCATATTACAAGCCTAAGTTGATAATTCAGTCAAATTTGGTTGATAATGTGTTGCATTTTTCGAGCCTAAATTAATAATTGAGTCAAATTTGGATGCTAATGTGCTGCATTTTTTCGAGCCTAAATTAATAATTGAGTCAAATTTGGATGCTAATGTGTTGCATTTTTCGAGCCTAAATTGATAATTGAGTCAAATTTGTTGCATTTTTTTTAGCCTAAATTGATAATTGAGTCAAATTTGTTGCTAACGTGTTGCATTTTTCAACTTTAATCGAGCCCATGAACCGGGCTGAAATTTTTGAGGTTATTGGATACGAAGCTGAGATTAGGCTTTGAGACTCGTCGTGCTTCATGAAGCACGATGATCCAGCAGGATTCTATTGTGCTTTAGTCGAGCCTAACGAATGTACTTAGTTTTGGTTCCCACCCCTGTCACCCATTCATGATTATTTGCCCTGCTGTGACTGCATTTCAAATTCTTTTCTATTGATCATAAATGAAATCAACTTCTGAATTACTAAATGATCGTCTATCAGATCTATGTCATGAATGTGGTGCTCACTGATGCTTCTTAAATCTCATGTGTTTACAAATTCTTTGACTATAATTGTAGCGATACTTACCTTAATGTGAACGTTGTGATTCTTAATGGTTTGAGTTGGTTGTTATCATGAAAATAGATAAAATGACTGTATTAATTAAGAAAATAATCACTTGTATATGTCGTGCAGTTTTCATTCTGCTGAAGAATTAGGGTTTATACTTTGACCATCCTATGCATGGCATCATCTGTGGTGAGTTCGGGGGCCTTGGTCGTATTGGAAGAGCTGAATTCGTCTTCTCCACAATTTCAAAATGGGGCATCAATTCGCGTTACTGGAAAGTTAGTTATTTTCCTCCCATTAACTGTGCAGTATGCTTAGTGAGAGTTAGTATGCTTAGGTTTTTACGCTTTAGCCAAGATCATATTTATTGCCGAAGACAAACAGAAAATGTGGACATGCACCTATAATTTAACCACACAGTCACTATAATGCTAGCTCATGCATCGGTAAATGAAAGCATACTCTCAGTTATGATAGAAATTAAAACCAGAATTTTATGTGAAATGCAGAGCACACCACCTTATTATATTCTCTTCTTCAGCCTGCTTTTAGTTGTACAATTTGTTGATGTCTCAAGTAGGTTATCAAATTAATCAGGCAGTCCTTGATGAATAAAATCAATCAGGATCTGGCTTACTGTCTCTCCCATTTCTCCATGATCATAACGATTTTCTTTAATTCTTACACTTGACATCTAAGGTTTTATTCTATTATTTTACTTATCTTATTGTGATCTCAACTTATTTCTGCTTTTTTTAATGTTATTTGATGAGAGTCTTGGAAAAGGTAGTTCAGGTTTATTTGCATTCTACAGTTGATAGAATGTACTTTCTTGTTTCAGATTGTGTTGTCTAGTAACCTGGATATTTGCAACACTTTATAATGTACCCGGAGTACCACATGAATCTTTAACTTTGGTTGGTGTCGTGTGTTAGGCTATTGGATTATACTGTGGAGACTGCTGTGGCAGTTATTGTCGATGGAAATGCAACACTGAAGATTGACACAAAGCATTTGAAGATAAACTATCGAGTGGGTTCCATCTACCAGTTTATCGGAGAACTATTCTTTGAATCAGAGAATCAGGTAACATATAATTGTGTGACAATCTTTGGATCGATTATGGGAATGTTCATGGTAATAATTTTTTTATTTTTTTGGTAGCCGATACTGAAGGCACGAGTTGGCAGGAATGTTGATGGCATGGACCTCAATCTTTATCGGCAGTCCCTCCGGCTCTTGAAAGAGTTTCAGGCTGAACAAACTTATAATTAAAGATTTAACTGACAGCTCCAACTTTTGAGTCTTGAGTGGTTTTGCTTCCTTGTAGTCTTGTACAGAGATGATAACAGGTGCTTGCATTTGACACCTGAGGGGCTAACTGGCCGAGGGATGTGTGATTGAACTAACTTGGTAGAATCTTCTAAAGCTATGTAGGGATGTTCAGATTTGGCTGATAGGCCAATTACATGCTCGTTTTGTCCTGTTGTTCCCGTCCAATGATGGTGATGATCCTTCAATTTCTTAAGAACGTCGTTCATTATGTCCTCCATGACCTTTGTCTAAAATCCACATTGTACGCCATATTGTTGCACCCTGTGAACTGCTGCATGAAATGCTAAGAATTCCGGTTAACCTTTTTATTTGGCCTTAGTATATATGGTTGCAGAAAACTTTCCATCTATTCTAATTCTTATAAGGATTCCTTCTATTCTGGTAATGGTTAACAAATGATAAAGCTGTATAGGATTCATTAAAGCAAAATGCAAATTAGTAAGCGGTCGTTGATAGATAAGGGTGCATTTTATTTGCTTTTTTTAAAAAAAAATAATAATCAAATCATTAATAAAATGGCATATGACTTGTACAAATAGAATCCATATATGGTATTTTCTCGGTTCCTAAATAATTAAAGCGTTTGTTTTTTTTTTTTTCACTATTTGTATATAAGAAGAAATTTTATTATGAAATATATTATGTAATTTTAAATACTTGTAAGTATTAATATAAGGTTTCATAGCAACAATTTTTTAATATTTTTACTAATATTTAATCATATGCATCTAAGGTCAAAATAATGCATTGACATGTGTGTCAAGTTTGACTATATCAATTATTTAAAAACGCAGGGATTATTTAATAAATACAAAGTACATAAACAATTGAGTCAAACAAAGATTTTCTTCACTATAACAATTGAATCAAACGAGTTCAAATGGCTAGCTGGTCGGTTCGGCTTGGTTTTGAAAATTACCGAATTGCAAATGTTTTTTTTTTTTTTTTTTTTGGGCGGTTTCTATTTGGATAAGGTCCTAATCAAGGCAAGTTATGAATTGGTTTGGGTCTTAAAGCGAGTTTCGGTTCAAATTCAAGTCCACTAATAATTGAGTCGAGTTAATCAGGTAGCCGATAGGAACAAAATTGGTCATAATCAAGTTAGGTCCCAAACAAGTCGAGTTATTTGGGTAATTGGTAAGAACAAGCTCGGTCAAAAGTAAGTTGGGTCCAAAATAAGTTGAGTAAATTGGCTTGCAGGTAGGAACAAATTTGGTAAAAGCCGAGTCAAGAATTAAACAAGTTGGGTTTGACTGGGAACAAATTAGCATAGGTCAAGTTGTAATTGGGTTGGATTGTAAACACATTGGGTTAATCAGATAGTAGGTTGAAATGAATTGGGCCATAAACAACTTGGGTTGATCAAATAGTAGGCTCAAATGAGCTAAGTTATAATCAAGTCAAGCCATAAACATGTTGGATTTATCAGGTCAAATACAATATTGATTGACATGGTTCGAGTTGTATATAGATTTAGGTGAGATAGTTATACTCTAACAAGTTTGTGTTCATATCGGGTTGAATTTTGAAGACTTAGTTGTGACGAGTTATAAACAATATGTTTGAATGAGTTACGAGTTGAAATAGTACAGATCAATTAATGGGTCATGAATTTAACACGGCTCAGGTTGAATGTGTACAATTTTTAAATAGTTTGAGCTAAACATGTAGCAAGTTGCAAACAGTTCAGATATAAATGATAACTAGTTAAATGGGGAGGACCTTGTAAACGATTCAAGTATACTAGGTAACAAAGTTGAAATGGTTCGAGTTAAATGGGTGATGGATTATAAACTATTTGGACACAACGAGTTACAAGTTGAAACAGTTCAACTTTATCAATTTTTTTGGCAAGTTCAAACAATTTTGGCTAGGGTTACTACAAGGTCTAGATCTAATTGGTTCGGATCATTTACGCCATTAATGGATCAATAGAATCTGGTCATTTCTGTTAGGGCCGGTTTTCACAAAAGGGGTTCTAAACGATTTGGTTCTTCACTGGATCGGTCCGATACAGACAAGTTTACAGTTCGAGTTAGCAATTAATAACTCTTTCCTTAATCATTATTTATACAGTAACTGTTAATAGTTTGCGAAGGGATCTTATTGTTTAACTTCTAATTTTAAGAAAATAATACTACGTATTAAGGACCATACTGCTTCGCAATAATTTTGAGCATTTAACAGGTCAAAGTAATTATGCAAAAATTTCGAATTATTTCAAGAACAAGAAATTTTGAGACTTGAATACGGCTTAGAATGTTACAATGTTCGAGCAGAGTCAAATGACCCAATGCAATGTAGCAAATATGCAACTATACACTTTGAAGATGATGCCATGTACTACATATAAAATTTCAAAGAACAACCAGTCAAGCACCATCTTGCAGAATACAGCAAAAGACTACTAACTGTTACCCCGAAAAAAAAAAAAATAATAATAAATGAAGAATTTCTTCTGATTATAAGAATGTAACCCAAAACTATAAAGATCTACACTTTCTGATGATTCTACAGGCTACACTCACCATTCAGGTCACAGGTCACAATGAATGTATGAACTAGTCAGATAAATTGGAGAGCAAACAGGAAGCAAGCATATTGACATCAGAATTCATGCAAATATACTAATGCCAGAAAATCAGTCCAGTCCTCAAACATCATAAAGTATTAAGGTCAAAAGGAGAAACTACCTAATTGCAGGAAGAACTGTGCTGGCTTCAGATTCAAAGCTTCTCACTCAATGTCAAGATGGATCAAATACAAACACAAGTAAAATACATCAGTGATAAGTACCTGATGTTGGGGCTTAGGTTGTACAAAACATTGTGTAGTTTAGGCTTACTTCGAACGTGTCAATTTAGGGCTCCAAAGGATCAAGTGTTTTTCCTTGGAAGGCCATCTGCATGGTGGAGTAGGGATTTTTCCCCTCATTTAGAGGTTTTTGTCTGCTAAAAGGCATTCAATTTTGCGCTTTAATTGGAAATAAAAATTGCTTGCACATCCTGAACTAGTTCAGAATTTGCTATAGTCTTGGCTGGATGATAGCATACACTACTGTTGAAGAAACAATAAGGTTTCTGGCTTTCAAGCGAATACAAATAACAGTGGAACAAACTGACCTACCCTGTGAAGAGCAGTTCAACATCGACAAAATGAGAAGGGGGATGGGGGAAGGAGAGATGGAATAATGGGGGCAGAGATAAGGGACAATTTGGCAATAATAGGAAAAAATATGAAGGCATGTTGGTTCAAGGGATTTTGATACACAGCTTAGTTATAAACTTGGAATTGGAGGTTAGAATTCAATAAGGGAGTATTTGGAGGCATAAGGGATTCAAGGGACTGTGATGATCAGAGTATTACATAAACTTGAAGTTTCCCCACTAAAATTACCATACGATACTCATGCTATAATGCTTCTTCTAAAACTTTGTTGCAAACAAAATCAAAGTGCCTTATGGGGTATGAGAATTTAAACAATCTGAAGGAGGAAATCGCATAGCTCGAAATTTACTAAAATCACACTTAAATAATTTCTCTAAATCTAGACAGGCAAACAGAAAAAACAGAGTTCCACCCTTCTCTTCCCATTGGTAGTCATCCTCTTGATCTCACTATCCATGTCACCACAATATCAACATCGAACCAGGAAACACGAAACCGATACATAACAATCGAAAGATCAAGTCTATTAGGCAGCCAGCATATATGGTAACCAACAACAAACATGCCAAGCATATCACCTTCATCATTAACACACTACCTACAACAATTACGCAAACAAGTATAGTTTCATTGTCATTCTGTAGAATACGCAACCTAAGATAATAACTATGAAAGTTTAGTTCCAGAAAAACTTATTAAAATCAAACAAACTCCAAAACCTAACATACCCCTCTGCAATCAAAATCAGAACAATTTTATCAGCAATTCACATCAATTAGATAAGCAAATAACATAAAATTAATGAACCCAAATTAGAGAAAGAAAAACCATTTAAAACAATAAATTCATAGCACAACATTGAATCAAAAATAAACCCATAAAAGCCAGAACACCTAACAAAAATCTCTGCAATCAAAATCAGAAAACCTTATTTAATAAAACAAAAATCCAAGAATTTCACTTTGCTTCATCAACAGATTAGCAATCCACATCAATCAGCAAAGTAAATAACATAGAAATAACCCAAATTAGAGAAACAAAAACCCATTTAAACAACAAATTCATAACACAACATAAAATTCAATAAAGTGATCAAATTATAACCAAAAATTAAAACCCTAAAACCCCAAAAACCCAGATTAATCTAATGGGCGGCGGCAGGAGGAGGGGTGCCAAGAAGGCTAGCCTGCTGAAGTTCCATAGCATCAATTTGACCGTCGCGCTCAAGTTCGATGATGAGAGGGAGAGCAAGGACGAGGAAAGTGGTGCCGACGATCCAAGCAGCTTTGCCAGTGCTCTTGAAAAGCTTCTTAGTGACGTCAGCAGTTTTGGTAGCAGTTTCAACACCTTTTTGGTAGATAGGTGAATCTGAAACTGTGTTTGTGACTCTTGCTATTATGCCTCTGCCATTGTTGCTGCCGTCGCTGATTCTCTTTCTTTCGCTGTTTGATGCCATTGATTTTTTTTGGGAGAGAAGAGAAAAGAAAAGAGAAGGGTTTTATTTTGTTGGCGTTCGATTAATTTGGTGAATTGGGGTTTAAAGGTTTACTGATTGCGTATCGGTATCGCAATTTGCTATTTTTTTTTTTTTTTTTAATTTTAATAATTTTAACTTTAGCTGATTTACTTTTAATAATCTTAACTTCTAATTATTATAGAATAATCTGATTTTTGTATAATACATGTAATATTTTCTTTTCATAGGCTCAGATAATCGATTACTTTATAAAAAAGTTAAAATTAAATCTTTTAAGAAATTCAGGTCCCATATTTTTATAATTTTTTTTTTTCTCCTCCCTTCACTAACCTTTCCTCTCTTCTTCCCTTACAACAAATCCGATCACCCTTCCGATAACCCACCATCTTCCGCCTCCAACACCATATCTCTCCTCTCCTTACGCCGGCAACCCCATCTCCCTCCACCCCCACATCGGTGAGCACAAAGTAATTGGTTTAGGGTTTATTTGAGGGTGGGGGTATTAGGGAGGGGGTGGTTTCAGGTGTGGGACTAGGAAGGGGGCAATTTTCGAGGCTGGGGGAGGGATGGGGTGGTTATGGGATGACCCAAACTATAATTACTCAGATAATGATAAATGAGGTTTCAAAAGTTAACAATTTTAAGTAACCTAATTTCAAGATAAAGCGATAAAAGAAATGTTGCATTTCATATAAGGATAGAGATGGAAGCTAAAGTACCCATATTGGCTATATGCATTCTCAAATGCGCAGTTCATAGACCATCATTTTATCAAAGATTTTTACACTAACAAAATAATCAAAAAAAAATTAAAAGGAAAAACAAAACAAGAATAAACTCATTTAAGATTAGACCTGCTCAAAGTTAGCCCGACCCGATTATGGGCAGTATTTTTGACCCGAAATCTAGTCGGGCCCGCCCCCACCCCCAAAATTTTATTTTTTGGCAGGTTTGGAAATGCGATTTTAAGCAATTATAGTTGTTTTTTTGGCCCGTCCCAAAATGGCCCGAAAAGCCTGCATGGCCCAGCCATTTTGGGCAAGTTTGGGCACAAAAATTCCACCCCAAAGCTTGGCCCGAAAAGTGGGATTTTTTTGGCATCGGCCCGGCCCACCCCACCCCGCCCCGCCCAATGATCACCTCTATTAAAGATCTCAGTCGAAGAGCCTCTGCATGAAAAAACCATCCCATTCAATCAAATTAATAAAATGACGGCTCACAAAGCCAATTGTGAACAGCAATGATGCATACATAACATTGATTAACAATGCTTCAAGATAACTGCAGCCTATTAGCAGTAATGGCGTGCAAGGTAAATGTCCAGTGCAGTCTTCTTCAAAAGCTGAAACATTGGCTGTTAACCGAGGGAACAGCAATGAGTACTAGAAGCATAGGTGTTTGATTTTTTGAGCAACTAATCAAATATAAGAACGCTAAGTGCTCCGAGTTCCCAATAACGAGTTCCTGACAAGAACAGACTCAGCATGTACACAATTAGAAGAGATTTCAAACCTTGATGTGTTCGATTTCTTTATGGTGATGTACCAAGTGTGCCACACAATCTCATAATCTTGCAGGCAACAAAACCAGCTTCCCGGCAATATCTATGGAGAATGCGTTTGTGTCACTGGAAAACCTCACAACATTCCGCAGTGAAAAAGCTTTTTTCCAACGCATCTAAGATATCAACCACGAAGACGAAAACTTCTATTTAGATACTGTAAACATGAAAATGGCATGTTTAAATCCCTGTCTACCTCAAGAGATTTGGACATGAGGGAACTCAAAACCAAATCTTGGTCCAAGCTTCCAGCACCCACACCAAAACCTCTACACAGAACGAGGGTTGTGTTGCACACCCAAGGAACTGTAATAGTGAACCCCACTCCAGGAAGTTGGTTTTTACTAAATGAACTTTCTTTACCCACCAACATATCCTTGTATGCTTGACAGACTCTAGAAACATATTTTCTCATAGGCAGAACTGGCTGGTGAAGAGCAGCAACTGGTGCATCAGCAGTCAAATCATCATCAGAATGAAGATTCACTACCACAGTGCCATGACAAGGATGGAGTTTGCTGCCAAGGGCTAGAAGGAATGGAGAATCTGGGTCCCATAGCTTGCGAGGAAAAATATCATTTCCATCATATGCATCAATAAAGATAATGTCATACACATTTTCTGTGTTGAGAATGAACTTCTCTGCATCTGATTCATAGAGGAAAAGTCTCTCATGGACACCTTTCCATAGGACTTCATCCATTGTATTGGGTTTTGAAAGAGCATGGCAACCTGAAGGAACTGCAACTGAAAACAATGGAAAGCCCATTGCTTGAATTGAAGTTGCAATAACAAGAGGGTCTATTTCAACAATGTCAATAACAGCACCTAAACATCCACAGGAAGAAAAGAGTCATCAGAAACCTCTGTATGTGCTTTAATTACCAACATGACCACAATAATCATTGCAAAAGTGCTAAATGCTTTTAGACATTCAAATCCAAAATTGACATGTAATACAGACGTTTCCAGATACTTCGAAATATAACTTTCAGGAATCAATCTGTTTCTTTTCTTCTGTTGAAAAAAGGGCATGTTCAATTCCTGATTACAAACTGAGACTTTTGACTAGTAACCAAACTGTTCAGATGAGATATACTTATCTGATCTAAACAAAAGTTTAATTGTCCAGCAACCAAGCCTTAGCTTAACAATAAGATACATGGAAAACCCTCATCAATGGATGCTTAGACTCTTTAGAGTACAACGGCATGCTTAACAGCATTTAACAACGGTATGCATAACAGCATTTGCTTAGCTATTACATACAAGTATAATAATAGGCGGGTAAGAAATTTTACTAAACACTGTTTCACTCAACCTCCCAAGAGAAGAAATAGAATCTAGTTACATGACATTTAAATCATACTACAGGCAGATGTTAGAATTAAAGAAGTCTTAAGGGTTGAAGAAAAACAGCCATCTCATGATACCAAAGAAGAATTTGGACTCTTCTTATCAGCCACCTCTCCATACTAATTTGCTACTGCCTTACAACAGTAAGCCAATAAGACCATTAAAGAAGCAGCAAGCAAGCAGGAAGCAAATCACAATAGTGAAAACACTGTATTATACTTACTCCTCTTTTTTTTTTTTTTTTTTACTTGCAACATTTTTTATTTTCATGTTTGCCAATGCATAACTTTAACTGTTTATATCTTTAATTATGCATTTGTAAAAATCATAAAATTAGATTTAATAAAATATACATTAAGATACCATACAACTATGATTTTCTTACAAGTATAAATCACGATATGAAATTGAAGTTACGTGAATAGTGTACATTACTATAGTGTGGCAAGTGAAAAAATGGAGGAATTATAATTTTCACCTAATTATCCACGAATAAGCCAAATAAGTCTGAAATTTTATCTTCTGCACAGAAACAAAAGGTTTCTGTAACTTCAACGTAATAAGTGATCTGAACTCTTAAGAAGGGCCTGCCACTAATCTTCATGAACTCATAAATGTAGCGCCCGCACCAAAAGCCAATAAGGCAGTCACAAGTTCAGTATCATGATTGGGATTGATAAGATCATCTACAGATTTGCAAAAGCAATATTTACCTAGCAACATATAGTTTGTAGTTTGCAAGCATTTATAAGTCAATAACAGTTCAAACAACATGTCACAGAAACAAATTATGTTAACTTTTAGTTTACTATGCATTTGGGTTTACTCTTCCAATCAAGCTTATACTCCCTCCGTCCTTTTATTAAGAGCCTGTATTCCATTTTAGGGTAACCAAAATTAAGAGCCTACTTCTATTTAAAGGTTGTACTTTTTGATGATTTGTCATCTTTTTCCTTCTCTTTTTTGTACTTTTGACATCAATTCCCAATACTTTCTCTCTCCCTCTCATCAATAATTCCCACCCACTTTTTCTTTCTCTCTCTCTCTAACCCCACATGCATATTAGTACTTCCAATCATTAGTTTTAAGGAATCTACAAATTTCTTAATTCCCATGAAAAATACAAATTATCAAATTATCAAATTTCTTAAAAGGACGGAGGGAGTATCAAACTTTTGGATCAAATTATCAAAACTATACATTTTGGTTTGACCTCTTCATAAGCACAATAATACAAATTACGACAAATTTGACATTTTGCATGTAAAAAAACAGGTGAGTGTAAGTGTGTGTGGTGGGTATGGATATACATGATACTAATTCATAGAGGTTTTAACATTTTAAGGAGAAAACTATTGAAATATATCAAGAACTTGAATAGGAGGGAATTTATCAATCTACCTTGAATTTTAGAAGCAATGAATAATGGTAAACTTCCTCCACCATGACCTACACATAAGACACGCATTTGCTTGTTTCCATTGACTGCATTCACAAGATCATAATTAGTAGATGATAATGCAGTGAATCCAGCTGCTACCATACTCTTCGTATCTGCAAAAAAGTTTAGCATAAAACATAAGTTATCCACTAGCAAAGTGACACAACTATGAAACATCAAATGCTTACATATAACATTTTACTATATATCGCCCTTTTTTAAGTGTTGCACTTGCCTAAATTGGGCTTTCTTTACCGCTACAGTACTATATATAGTAAGCTTAAACTTATTAATAATATACCTCTCTCCTCTCATGGTCCCAACTCCTACTCTCAGTAATTTCTCTCCTCTCACATCCCTTGCTTTTGAATAAACTGACCCCACTATTTTATCTTATAAATCAACCAAACCTACTAAAAATTTTCGTCTGGCAAAGAGTAACACCTAAAAAACAAAGGGAATATAAATTAAGATTACAAGAGGGCAAATGGCACGTAGCATCTAAAGTATTGATACTCCCTCCATTACTCTTTAGTAGGTGTGTTTTCCTCAACTAATTTAAGTTATGATAAGAAATGTTCAGGCAAAATAGATTCAAATGAAACATGATCACAACTTTATACATAATTAGTTTAATAAGTACAAAAGTGGAAGAGAATACACCCTAACCTATGCCACACTTAGTTTGATTTCATTTTTAAGGAATTGGGCTATATTACCACAACTTATCTTGATTATTGAAATGTAATGTCAAGTTCCAATTCTCTGATCTGCCAGTTTAGCACCTCAAAACAATTTGAAAGCAAGATAAACACCCCTGCAAAAAATATGTCAGCTCAGCTACCCACATATTTGGCTACATATTAGTGATGTTACCAAATTACACCCATTTACTAAAGTACATTACAATCGCACACAGCAATAATAAAGCAACAAGGTAAAAGTATCAATGTTCAGTTTTCAATAAGTCAGAATCACTACAGCAAATACATCATATATTAATTATAAGAGTGTTCATCAGGAATACTTGATATTATAACTTACCAAATACGTAGTAGTCAAGATGCATCAAATTAGATATATGGTCTATTAAAGAGGAACAGAGGTAGTAACAATTAACAAGATATCTTCAAAGGAACACTTAACTAAATCATCAGCCCCATGGTTATCTACACACAAAGTAGGTTGCCTAGTTTAAGAAGTTTCATCAATCACCTAGTTTTTGGGGATATTCATTGCCTCTTCTAAAGAAACTATAACAAAGTACTTGAGAATCAGAGACAAGCAACACAAATTTCGGAAAAAAAAAATAAAAAATCAACATGTAAGTTTAGTGATAAAAAAATTTAAATCAATGTGCTAAATTTCTTTTTCCGGTTTTTCCTTTAACTTGGGTTGGGTTTCTCAGCAATGTAAAATGATTGTAGCAATAGAAAGAACAATTTAATGCACATAAAAAATTAAAATAGTTTTTATTGTGACATGATGCCTGATAATTTTAGTTTGGATTTTAAAATCAAAACTTCCCAACAGCATTGTTGCGCAATTGATCAAGAATATAAATACGATTGAAGCTCAGCTACAAATCTATGTTGGCATTTACAAAACTATAATAGGTACAAGGTAAATTACAAAAAAAATATTTGAACAAGTGTCTAACTCTCTATCAATAAACATATGGTGATCAACTCTCTCATGTACAGACCTTGCCTAGTGGACAAGAGGCAGAGAGAATGATCAATTAACTCCCATTTGTCCATTTCTCCTTAACATCTCACACACCTACCCATTCCGTTCAACATTTGAATAAAGCAGATGTAAGGTATTATTTTTAGCAGATATAAGGTATAATTTTCAGCGGGAAGCAAAAGTAAAGCTGAACCTTCCGTAAGCAAAAGCTCCTCAACACCCAAATGAAATCAAACAAGCAGATAGGTTTCACAAGAAAGAGTGGAATCGGCTTTCTATCTACAAAAAAGATAATTCACACATGAACTTCTTATTATCCTGTCCAACAAGTTATGAGAAGACATCTTAAGATATAGCTGCACATATAGGACAGAAATAGCATAAAATACCTATTACACAAGATCTTAAGGAACATTACATAGCAAAGATAGAGCTGCTAAAATAAAAGCTCTGGAACTGAGGTACAAGAACTCTTATGCCATTAAAAAAACAGCGTTGCAATATAAAGTCACGTGTAAGGGTGCACAAATTGAGATACTATATCAAAAAAATATCAGCTGAACATCACTTACAGGGAACAGCCAGAACATGAGGTTGCTGCATGTAGTATACAGAACTAGTATCAGACATTTTAATAGCTGCCATAACTTTTACAGCACTCTGGCGTGTGACATCGTTAAATCGAAGCACACGCCATTGGTAACCAAGTACTTTGAAGCATTCATCATGTTTAGCATCTGAACATACTTCTGCATATCTTTTCCTAAGCCATTCTTCTGTTTTCGGCCAATGATTTGTTGCCTGTTAAAGGTTCAATCAAGGGTATGTAATCAAACAACTATACAAAGTTACAAACATCATAATTGGAAAAATAATACTGCATTCATCATTTTAAATCTTAACACATTAACCCAATTACTTTTCCTGCCAAACATATTCAATCTATTGGGAAAATTTCAGTGTTGCAAATCATAATTCAGCCCCATGAAACCTTTTTATTTATTATGGAAAATGATAAACATAGCCCCGCCCCGTCCCACACACTAACCATTAAATTAAACAACTAACAACATCAATCAACACGTGATTTTATATCTCCAATAATAACACCGTCTTGAGAGAAAGTAACAAATAACAAAACCCATTCAACTATTATATTTATAAAAAAAAAAAAAAAAAAGGAATTAGAAAAAAGGTTAGTTTCATGAGAGTAAATATGAACTAACAGGTAAGGAAGAAGGATAAGAAAGGACAGAGACGACGCCGTTTCCATGAGTCGAAGTAGCTCGAAAGACAGAGTGAGAATGGTGATCAGAATCAGAGCCCCACCACTGAGTAGAATAAGACCAAGAACCTTCATCTTCAAATTTAGATTTGAGTGAAGTTGAAAACCTCCGTAGTTTTGATTTAGTGCTCAATTTGGAAATCTGCCATCGCCACATATTGAATCAACCTCTGGAATTCTCTCGCTTAATACGACTACTTCTTCCTTAAACCCCAACTCTAAACCTTTGCCAATACAACAAGGTTGTATTTTTTTTGTTGGTTTTTTTTTTCCTTCTTTGGTTTGTTCGAGAGGAATTACGATGTGAACCGGTCCAAAATCGGACCGGACCGGACCGAAACCCGAAATCGCCTGTTTTTGTGGACTGGGGATCGGATCGTAATCAACCGGTCCGAGTTTCGGTCTAGACCTGTTTGTTCCTATCCGGTCCGGTTTTGGACCGGAATGGACCGGTTATATTCTTTTCTTTTCTTTTTTTTTGCATTTTAATAACTTTATATATACATTATTTTTTAACGTCTTGTTTTTGTTTGCGTGTTTTCCTATTTTGCACCTAAAATTTATAAATTATAAGTTCTGTACCTAAATTTTTTAGAAATTTAAAATTTTCACCCAAAAAATGAAAAAAAATACATTTTTCGGTTCCATTCCGATTTTTACCCGGACCGAACCGAAAACCTAGAATCACCAATTTGTGAGGACCGAAGACTGATCCGGAATCCAACGGTCCGGTCCCAGTCCGGTTTCCAATCTCGGTCCTTTTTTTGCACACCCCTAATTACGAATGCGGAACCCCCACAACCCCCCCCCCCCCAATAAGGCTGATAAACAAATCAGAATAAGGTAAAATTGCTACTCCCTCCATTTTTAAATACTTGTTTTGATCAAAATTATCTTTAATAAGTATAAATTCTAACAATTAAAAATCAATAATCTATTAATTGAGACAATATCAACAATTACCCACAAGACTATAATATTTCTTATATACTTCCTCCGTTCCACAAATATTGCAACAAGGATGAAATTACGCATCCCAAAACACATTTTATATGTTAAATATCTATAATCATATAAGAGTAAAAATTATAAAAAGTTGATACTGTGAAAGTATTTTATGAGACGAATCTAACAAGACCCCACATAACAATATTTTACTTTACGTATAAATCATAATATGTGGTCAAACAAGGGTGATGAATAGTGAAAAATTCTAGTTGTTGCAATATTATTAGAACGGATTAAGTATAAATTACAAACATTAGTCAAAGTAGGACAAATGAATAGTGCAAAAAGTAGAAATGGAGTGAGTATTTAAAAACTGAGGGAGTACTTTTTACCTTACTCCCTCTGTCCCTTTATTTTTGCACCATTTGACTTTGTGTGGTATTCAAGACGTGTTAAAACGTTTATATCTTCATATTCATACATGAATTAAATTTACAATGAGACGAAGCAAACAAGATCTTACATAATTATATTTACTTTTATTGAACAACGGGATTATGGTCAAAGTTTATAAAATTTGACCCATATTTTGGCAATGGAGAAAAAATATAGGGACGAAGGGAGTATATTTGAAAGCTAATAAACCTATTTCGTTTACCAGCTTTATCAACTTGTATTTCCCCAGTTAGGAATTGCAGTAATTCAAGGTATTGAGTATTAGAGATAACCTTAAGTTATTTTTTTTTTTTCAAGTTTATTCTACTTGATCTATAATATACAAAGTACTAGTGGTTATCTAAGTCATGCCCAGATTTTAAAAAATATACAAGTATGGTTATAAAAATCGGACTTTAATAATTGTTGAGGTAAATGTTGTGCTTTACCAACATGTCAAATTAAATACTCTATATTACTCTATGATGTTAAGGGGCTGCCCCTACTTTTACTAATTATACTTTGATAACCTCGACAACAAACAAGTAAATTGCACTAATTGAAGAAGTTAAGCAAGAGTCGTTGAATCAACCAAAGTAATGAACAGACCAATGTAGATAAAGGATGGAAAGGCTTGTATAGTGCTTTCAAATGGAACAAAATTAATAATCAATAATGCTTTATATTTGAGTAAATCTTGAAGAAATATCATAAGCTTTAAATATATACGCCAAAACGACTATCATTTAGAAACAATGACAAAAGATCAAAAGGAGTATTTATGCCTCACGTCAGAAAAATATGGCAAGAAACGTATCTATGAAAATTTGTCAGCATATTCTTCGGGGTTATATCATATAGACATACGACCCGTAGAAATCAATATGATATCTAACTAGAAGTTAGATGGCAAACATTTGATTAATTTATGGCATGACTGTTTGGGACATCCACCAACTGGGATCATGCTAAGAATTATAACAAAGTCGGTTGGACATTCAATAAGAAATATCAAAATTATATTCCTTAATCAGGTGAATTAACTTGTTCTGCATGTTCACTTGGCAAATTAATAATAAGGTCATCTATGAACAAAAATTCTACTAAATCTCCAAAATTCTTGGAAAGAATTCAGGGAGATATCTATGGGCCTATTAATCTTTATCTTGACCATTTCGATATTTCATGGTATCAATTGATACTTTTACACGATGGTCACATGTTAGTCTACTTTCAAATAGAAATATTGTTTTTGCAAAACCCAAATTAAGAGCTCAATTCCCTAATCATACAATACAGAAAATAAGACTTGACAACACTGGAGAATTTACATCCCAATCATTTAATGATTATTGTACGCAATTGGTATTGTTGTTAAGCGCCCAATAGGTCATGTTCATACACAAAATGGTCTAGCTGAATCACTAATTAAGAGGCTACAATTGATTGCAAGACCATTATTAATAAGATCAAAGTTGTCTTCATCTGCTTGGGGATATGTTATAGGGATTTGTTAAACATCGTCTGCAAATTATCATATAAAGCCCACAAATATGACTTGGTGTGACTTTATTGCCCTTTTCCTTTTAAAAAAAAACACTCTCTACTTCTCTCTAAAAAAAATCAGAAAATCTACCTCTCTTAAAAAAATTAATTACGACAATGTCGAGGCGGCAAGGGAAAGAGGTGGCGGCGGCGGCGGCGGAGGAAAGGCGGCGACCTGGTGGCAAGGTAATTTTTTAATTATTTTTTTTTTTTAAAAAAAAAAAAAAAAGAATACGGTGGCGCGTGGTGGGCGTCAGGTCCGGCAGCCACAGCCGGTGGGGTGGCGTCTGGCTTGGAAGCCCAGCCACCGGAGCAGGCGTCCAAACCAGAAGCCAGCCCATTGGATGTGGCGTCCAGATCTGGCGCCTGTGCCAATGGGTGGGCGTCCAGTTCAGGCGCTTGCCCACTGGCTACGGCTGCCGGAGCTGGCGCCACCGCCAGTGGGTGGGCGTCCTGGCCAGGCGCCTGCCCTTTTTTTCGTTTTTTTTGTTTTTGTTTTTGTTTTTGTTTTGTTTTTGTTTTGTTTTTGTTTTTCTTTTTTTGGGTTTTGTTTTTTTCTGATTTTTTTTGTTTTTTTTTTTTAGTTTTATTTTGCAAAATCAGAAATTTAGTTTTATTTAAAATAATTTTGTTTTATGTCTAATTTTTTTTTGTTAATGTGTTTTATTTTTTTTAAATATTTATCAACTTTATGTGTTTTTTTATAAATCGTGTATATTTTATTTTTATAAAATCGGATTTTTTTTTTGTGTTTATGTTTTATTTTGTTAATGTTTGATGTTTAAACATTTTGTATGCCTTAATTGATGTAGTATGTGGAAATTGTTTGTGTTAATGTGTAATTGTTTTTTTTATTTAAAATGTGTAATACATTAGGGTATTATGTGTGTATTTGTGTATGTGTAATATATTTGTTTTTTATTTTTGATGTTTAATTATTTGAAATAATTTTTATTTTTTTTGGAAATCATAAATTTTGTAATATATTAGGGTATTATGTGTGTATTTGTGTATGCCGTATAATATTTTTCTATGTTTAATTAGTTGAAATAATTTGAAATTTTTGTTTTGTTCTGGTTCGTTGGAGTCTTTGATTTTTATAATCTTTATTAATTTTATGTTTATAAACATGACGATATGTTGGAAGTGTTGGTGTTTTGTATCTGTAGGCAGTTATTTATTTTTCTAAAAAACTTTTGTATGTTTATATATTTTTAAATTTTTTGTAGAATTCACTGGGTCGTCATGGTGCGGGAAAGAATGTAGAGCTTCTTAGTAGAAGCTATTCAGTGGAGAGGTCGGGGCATAGACATGTTAGATCCCGTGGTATTTCGGCTCAGCTCGTAGAGAACGGATCCACCGTCGGGATGAGGATGACGATGAGGATGACGATGATGATGCTGAGGAGGGTGACCAGGAGGAGGAGCAGGAGGAAGGCGCATATGAGGATGAGGATGTGGACGATGGGAGTGGACCGTATGATGATTACGGTCCATTCAGTCAGAGGGTTGATGACATGTACGAGACACATATGGTGGAGGTGCGTAAGGGTAGGGGTGGTAGGTTTGTTAGTAGATCTGGCACATCATCTGCGTCCACTGTATCTGGGGCAAGCAGGAAACGGTCGAGGGCCGTTAATGATTCTTGGGTTGTTAGGAGTGAGGTGCCCGGTGGGCCTGTTGACGGGAGTGTGATTCCTAGCTTTCTAGGACACATAGCTGCCCGTATTTGGGAGGACCAGGAGAGGCCTTCAGTTACGGGGTTGTTGAAATGTCATACCCGGGAAAAGACTGGTAGCTTTTTGTGTACATGGGCTGAGGCTTGGCCAGCGGAGAGCGAGATGTTCGAGGGACTGGAGGGCACTGGGGTGAATCACGTTCCTGCCACCATGCACGATAAGATTGACAGTACGCTGATCACGGCTTTCGTTGAGCGATGGCAGCCGGATACAAACTCTTTCCACCTTCCGTTCGGGGAGATGATGATCATGTTACATGACGTCGAGGCCATTCTGGGGATTCGTGTTGAGGGTAAACGACTTTGTGCTGTGGCTGATGCGGATCAGGCAGATTTGCTGGCGGAGTTGTTGGCGGTGGACAGGGCTGCACTGTACACCGAGGCGCTTGGTGTTTGGGAACACGGCGGTGTGAAGATCGCATCCGTGTTGCAGAGGTGTTTGTACCCCAGTGCACGTAGGACGCACGACGCACAGCTGGTTGCTTATGTTTTTCTACTCCTCGGATGTACCTTGTTTCCGGATAAGAGCGGTGGAAACAAGCTCAGGCCACGCGACATAGTAGAGGCGTGTGACCCCGACAGTGTAGGCCAGTTTTCTTGGGGATCGGCTACGTTGGCGTATTTGTATCGCCAACTAGGATTTGCGAGTCGGGCTGACGCGGCAGGTATCACTGGGTGTCTAACTTTGTTGCAGACCTGGATATACGAGTACTTTCCTGCATTGCGACCACATCGTGACCCGGTTCCTATTGATGAGGGGATGCCGCGTGCTTGTGCGTGGAGTCCGCGCTCGGAGAAGAAGTCCGTTGACCG